TAAAAAATTATACTTTATAGCTAACTATACAAACTCTATTAAATGATTAATACAATATTTGAGGTAAAAAATAAAAAAATACATCTTATAACAAATTATTTTTTATAAAATTTAAAATGATTATTTCAGGTTGAATTTTGCGCCTCCCTCTTGCGCCCTTGGCAGGGGCTCCTTTCGCCAACCCCTAGGTTGGTCCCTGATGGAGTGTATCCTACTACAATTTTCTTTACGTGTGGCTCTTGAAATCGCAAAACGTGGAAAACCATTCACCGATGGAGAAATGATCAAAGAATGCGTAATTGCAGTAGCCGAAGAAATGTACCCCGAAAAGGTAAATTTATTTAAAACTGTCAGTTTGTCAGCAAACACCGTCGGAGGATACAAGACATCGCAGAAAATATATCATCTCAACTGTCTGACCAAACTGAACATCTTGAGTGGTTTTCTCTGGCCTTGGATGAATCAACGGATGTGTCAGATACTGCTCAGGAGTTGATTTTTATTCGAGGAGTAGATAAAAGCTATGAAGTGTATGAAGAACTTCTTAATATTGATAGTATTCATGGCACGACTACTGGGAAGATATTTTTAAGGGAGTTGAAAATCTATTACAACCTACGGAGGCAAATAACATGTGTGGTAAAAATAAGGCAGTGGTTGCACTTGTGTTAAAATCTGTAAAAAATGATGGTGGTTCAAAATCGTTAGTCTTACATTGTATCATTCAGCAACAGTCCTTGTGCGGAAAATGTTGGACATATCTGAAGTTCTAATACCAGTCATATCAATTGTTAATTTCATTAGATCCACTAGGCTGAATCACCGACAATTCCACGAGTTTGTTGAGGAGATGGGAGAAAATTACTTACCATATCATACTGCCGTACGCTGGTTTAGTTGCGGAAAAGTCCTTAAGCGCTATTTTGAACTTCTAACAGTAATCGAGATTTTTATAAATGAAAAGCATCGTCTTCATTCCGAATTACAAAATAGCGAATAGCTGTGGAAGTTAGCATTCTATGTCGATTTGACAAAACATATGAACGAACTGAATTTGAGATTGCAAGGAGAAAACCAGCTTCTCCCTGATTTATATACTAATATCAAATCGTTTCGGCAGAAAATAATACTGTTTCAATCACAATTACGTAAAAAATGTTTCACACATTTTAAAACATGTGGAATATTCAACCACACTACTGAGACTGAGTTTCCTGTCGATGTGGCATTGAAGCTTTTAGCGCTTTGAAGATAAATTTGGATACTTATTTCTCAGACTTTGATGACATTGCGAATGAAATTAAGATTTTTCAAAATCCTTTTGATACCGACATTGAAACCCTAGCCCCTGCAGTGCTATAATTAAGAACAAATATCAAAACTCATCTTTGTTGGAATTTAATAAAAGTCTTTCACTGGTACAATTTGTTGGAATTTTATAAGAGTCTTCCACGGCACAATTTGATAATTTCCATAAATTTGCTCGTGGGCTGTTTTCTGTTTTTGGTACTACTTACTTCATTCTCCAAAATGAAGTACACAAAGAATGTTTACAGATCTAAGTTAACCGATGAGCATCTTAAATCTCTTTTAATAATTGGTACAAGCAAAATTGGAAAATCATAATTACATAAATCTCATTAGTATTTTTTACAAGTGGACACCCCGCGGTTTTATTCAAGTTAATTTAGCTTTTTAGCTTTTTCGCTCCTGAGGGACTTTCAGGATAAAAAATCATATGTGTGATTCAGGATATACAGAGTAGTCCAAAAGTCTGGAAACGGCCAATTATCTCGTAAATTGCTAGTCCCAATTGTACAAAATTGGGGCTACACCTATTTTGGGATACGGTGATTCCAGATTTGATATTTGCAATGTTGCCAGATTTGCCGTTTCTCTTAAATGATTAGTCACTTTGGTTTTTCAAATTCATCACCCTGTATATTCAGTCATTATTGGAATCTCCTATTCAATACAATTTTAACCATATGTAACACTTATGATTTTATGTAGTCTGGAAGGTCTTAAAGAAATAAAACAGAAGTCTGGCAACGCCTAATTGTCTCTAAATGTTTTAATACAAATTATTTTCAACTACATTAAAACGTAACAATTTAAAGATTATAACATTTTTAACATAATGGTTACTTTATCAAGTGTACAACATGTGCTCCATTTGTGAGCTGACAGTACCATAATCGATGGTAGAATGCGTCTACCACATTTCTCCATGATTGTTTTATTTATTTAAGACCTTCCAGACTACATAAAATCATAAGTGTTACATATGGTTGAACTCGTATTGAATAGGAGATTCCAATAATGACTGAATATACAGGATGATGAATTTGAAAAACCAAATATGGAATCTCCGTATCCGAAAATAGGTGTACCCCAAATTTTGTACAATTGGGATTAGCAATTTACGAGATAATTGGCCGTTTCCAGACTTTTGGGCCACTCCGTATACATTCCAAATATTGATATACATACATATACTAAACTCTTTACCCCAACATAACTACCGAGGGTGAAACCGCGGGATGTCCACTAGTTTATAATGTTAGTGGGATTTAGTTCAATTATTTGTTAATTACTATGATTAAGTTAAATTTTCTGCGTATTATACTTATCATTAAGCTATACCTAGCAAGTAATTAAATCAGAGTTATTCTCATTTTGTTTTTTTTTTATCCAACTTATCACAGCAACAAAAAGCCATTAAATGTCGCGGGCTGGATTGATAACACTGGTGAGGCGAATTTGGCCCGCGGGCCATAGTTTGGAGACCCCTGGCATAGGGTATAAAGTTTTAAAGTAAAACACTTTGAGAAAAAGATTCCTTACCGAGAAAAACGATTTTATTTTCTCTTAGGCATTATAAATGAAACACCCTGTATATTTAAAATTGTTCTTACTGTTGATGGACAAAGAAGACTCCTTACATGCTGAAAAATCTATTAAATGGGTCAAACGTCTACCTAGTATTGAAATTCCATCAGTGTCATTGCTAGGCAACATGTAAACAAGTGTGGTTCACTTTAATTCTATCTTTCCCTAATATTGAATGAATGCATTTTATTGTAAATTGAAATATTTAGAGAGAAAAAGACTCAAAAATGAATCAAACACGTGGAAATAATTCAAATAGCGACAAAGAAATGTACAGTATGGCAGAAGAAGAATTAGCGCGGCTTCGCCGACAGGTAATAAATTTGATTGTTTTCCACATTATCCTAAATCTTACAGTAATGTTTGGCACAATTTGGGAAAAATTATCAATTATTACTAATTTAATTATTTTTTACATTTTTTAAGTTACGCATCATGGAAGAAGACCGTTTAGCCTTTCTAGAAGAAACAGGAACGAAATTAAAGAAGCAAAGAAAAATTATAAAAACGTTAAGACGAGAGAAAGATCAAATAGACGAAGAAATTAACGTTGCCACTTGCAAGAAACAAAAGGAAAACGACGAAAAACTCGTCCGGAAAATGTGCAAACTTTTAGAAGATTATAAAAAGTACGATGGACACGTGAAAGCAGAAAGAGAAGAACTAAAGGAATTGGAAATTCAAATTAAAAAGGTAATTTCGAGGGGTTGACAGTATAGGGAGTTAGATTTTTAAAACAAGGATAAAACATTTCCAGGAAATTAATAGTTTAAAGGAATTGAAAGAATCTGAAGGATATTTAAGGAATTTTGGGAATTGATAGGAAACTAATGAGGAATTGATAGGGAATTATTAGGGACTTGAATGGGAATTGATAGTGAATTAATATGGAAATAATAGGGAATTGATAGGAAATTAATGGGGAATTGATGGGGAACTGATGAAGAAGTGATGAAGAATTGATGAGATTGATGAGTAATTGATATGTGATTGATAGGAAATCGATAGGAAACTGATAGGGAATTAATAATGAATTGATAGAGAATTGCCAATAAATTGATAGGGATTTAATAGAAAATTTACAGGTCCAAAGGAATTTAGAGAATCGAGAAGAAATTAGAGAAATTGTGTGAATTGATAGAAAATTAATAGGGAATTGATAGGAAATTAATAGCGAATTGATAGGGAATTAATTAGAAATTGAATGGTAATTGATGGTTAATTAATATGTGATTAATAGGTAATTGTGAATTGATAGTGAATTGATAGTGAATTGATAGTGAATTGATAGTGAATTTATAGTGAATTGGTAGTGAATTGATAGTGAATTGATAGTGAATTGATAGTGAATTGATAGTGAATTGATAGTGAATTGATAGTGAATTGATAGTGAATTGATAGTGAATTGATAGTGAATTGATAGGAAATAGAGAATTGATAGGGACTTGATACGGAATTGACAGGGAATTCATAAGGAACTAATAGGGAATTGGTAGAGTTTTGATAGTGAATTGATAATTAATATGGAATTTATCGGAAATCGATAGAAAATTTATAGGGAGTTGAAAGGGAAGTTCCGGTAAAATGTGCGAATTGATAGGGAATTGCGAAGAATTGTTGGGAATGTCGATGAATTGTCGATGAATTGTCGATGAATTGTCGATGAATTGACGATGAATTTACAGACAATTTTAAAGGAGAGGTGAGAATTAGAAAGTAAAAGAGAAATAGGTGGACAAATTTTGGTTTGCATCTGAACTTTTAGGTAATTTTTAGTAGTAACATCCAAAGTACAGTGATGGTCACGAAATAATTTCATTACCGTTTGTGAACACATGTTATCTAAACGCAACGTGCTTGAGCAAATTAAAATCGAATAGTTTTACCAAAAAAATAATTTGTAATTTGTAAAATTAAATCATGAGAAATATTTAAAGGTATGGTTATTTACAGCGATTATATCTAGATCCAAATTACAAAAAAAAAGAAATATTTTAAAATAACTTTGTAATCAATGGAATGTTAAAGTATTTTTTGAATTACTCTCATTTTTGATCCAGTTACTTTCTATTTTTTTAACAAAATTTCCAAACAAAAATAACACAAAATAAAATAAACGCTTTTATTGAAAAATAAACAAACTCTTTAAATAAACTAACAAAATTCAACAAAATAATAAAAATAAATGTATTCCAAACACATTAACCGTGTACATTTTTGATATGAGCCTTCAAACTTTTTTTATGTTTAAATTTATAACCACACTGACTGCATTTTTCTTTCCGTTTCTTTTGGTGCTTCAAAACGTGATCTTTGATACCAGACATTTTCATCGTTTGGTACTTGCAAGTATTACAAAGGTAATACCAACTGTCCAGATCGATGATTTTCGAAAAATAACTATATATCTTATCCGGTTGGTATTCTTTCTTCACCGTTTGGTCCCCATCTTCAGACCTTGTATCCAATTTGCTTTTAATTTCTTCAGTTTCCCTTTTAACTAATTTAACTTTTTCAGATTTAGGTTTGCATTTGTGAATTTTCAGTCTATCCGGTATTTTTGTTTTGTATGGACAAGCTTTGCAAAAATACATTTTGAATTGGTGCAATTTCATATGTCGCCTCAAATGCTTTTTGTATTTAGTTTCGTAGCTGCAATTGTAGCATTTGAAAATCGTAAGTTCCGGTGACTTTTTATGTAAAATTTTGTGGGTTACAAGACTGGAACGCCATTTTGAACTGAAACAGCACAAGTCACACTTGAATCTGAAGGTTGGTTCGTTGCGAAGATTTGCGTGTACTAATAAATGCGACGATAGATTGGCTCTTTTGTGGTTTTTGTATGAACAGTACGGACATAGGTGAGACTTTTTGGTTCCTTTTGAACATTTGTTAATTGAGGACCTGAAAAAATAATTCTTTGAATAATAAAGAAACTAATTCCTGTTAAATATATCTTGGGAAACATCTTACGGAAGCACAATATCTCACCTGCATCATGTTAGCAAGTAGCCAGCAATACATTCAGGTGGAGGCCAAAGCGCCAGCGGTCTGACTAAATCTTAACATCTAATTATTTTAAATTTCGACATGAAGAATATATTAAATCATAATTTGTTGCATTATAATTATTATTATCCTTTCTTATAATAAGGGATTTAGAGAAGGCTGAAGCTTTTATTACTGAAATTAAATTGGTGTTTTTCAAAAATTTATTCGATAGATAATAAAAAACAAACAACTTTTTCAAATACCATTTTAAATGCTTATGGGTCATAAGGGATTTAGAGAGCTTTTAAATTTCAGAGTTTTTATTGCTGAACCAAAATTTGTTTTATTCAAAAATTTATTTAGGCTATTCAATAGATAATAAAAAACAAACAACTTTTTTAAATACCATTTTAAAAACAAATTTTGGTTCAGCAATAAAAACTCTGAAATTTCAAAGCTCCCTAATACCCTTATTACCCATATAGCATTTAAAATGGTATTAAAAAAAGTTGTTGTTTTATTATCTATCGAATGGCCTAAATAAATTTTTGAAAAACACTTTCGTTCTAGTAATAGCCTTCTCTAAATTCCTTATTATAATTTTAAGAAAGGATAATAATAATTACAATGTAACAAATTATGATTTAATATATTCTCTATGTTAAAATAATTAGATGTTATAGATTTAGTCAGACCGCTGGCGCGTTGGCCTCCACCTAAATTTACTGCTACTTGCTAACATGACGCTGGTGAATATCTCAAACTCTACAAATATCTTTTGCCTGAAATTAGGAGTCACTATATTTTGAGAATGACCTAAAGAATGTAGGACTCTTAATATACAGGGTGATTCTAAACCTCGCTGCTAAATAAAGAAAACAGTATTTTGTTTTGACGAAAGACGACGCCAATTACACATGTACCCAACCGGTTTTTTAATTTTTTTATTTCTATGTAATACCCAAGTATAGGTATTCAATCTCTAGTGGCACTCTGAGGCGGCCCATTCGATCTTTAAAAGTAGAAATTTTTTGACATTTCCAGGATATGAAAAGTTCTCTTTACACGCACTTGGTTATATATGGTTAGTTGAATCATTGTTCTGCAGTTTTTCAACTTCGTGTGTAGGCGTGAGATGTTTACCTTCATACAGACAACTGTTGAACAACTTAACTACTTTGATCTAAATCGATTAGATATCAGGACCAGGACAGTTTTCACAAATGTAAAAAAGGCAAACCTGTTTTAATTATTTTTTATATATTTTATTTAGTGTGTTTAAATTACGTAACTGCAATATTAGTGTTTAGGTAAAAGTTTAATTATCATTTAGGTAAAAGAAATTATTATTTATTTAAAAATATAACGTTAGTTTGTCAAGGGAATTATTTAAACAACAAAATAGTGGTTTTGCTTTATTTCTTTTAAGAATTACTCTGATCTAATATTATGTTGGTCTATTATAGAATTTTATTCTATACTTGCACCATTTAGAAAAATCTGTTAGATAAGTATGTAGTTTTAAATATAAACATTTTGGTAGAACAGTGTACCTAATTTATAATAGCAACATTTAGTGTAGTTTTTTTTTACAAATAGTGACTTGTTTTAGTGAATGATCTCAAGTATGGCCAACGAAAATCGTTACGTATTGTTATAAATAAATTTTAATTTATTTAAAAATGGGAACTGAATATGATTTTGGTAGTTTTTACACTTATATCACTATTTGATATTCTTTTTGAACTCACTAATTTGAAATATCCAAGTTTCATCCCTTCGGCGCCCCTTAACCCTTATTAAAAAAGTTAAATGGCAACCCCTTCCATGTGATACATCCACTTAAAGCCTAAGAAAATTGAAAACCAACCATATAACAAAAACTGTATTTCGTCAATTTATTTTCAGCTAACATTAAGTGAAATTTCATTAGACCATGAAACAATGCAAATAATGCAAAAAATAATAGTATTAATATTGATTTACGGAGCTCAAAATAGGTACGCTCCAAGAACAGCTCAGCAAGGCATCTTAACCGAAATATTAGCCACCAGGTCATCAGAGATTTATGAAATAAAAACTTAAAGCCATGTGTCACAATAATAGTAGCAGACGTTTCTCTATTGAAAACAACTGCTCCATTGCTTAATACCTCACCAGGTATTCAATTACATAAATAGAAAAAAGCAGGGATAGAAAATATTTTCAACACTTTGCCATTGATTCTGCTTATTAAGAAAAATGTCATTCTTGGACCGGTTTCGTCCTTATTAGGACTCATCAGCAAGAATTAGACAATCTCGACTCCAGTTTCTAATGGAGTCTGCCAGCTATACAAAATTCGCTCGCACACATTAACAGAAGTAGATGAACAAGGGTTCCATGGGCTTACTACTTCAAAATTCGCCGGTATATCGCGTTACCTGTCTTATTAGAAACTTAGGTAGATGGTTTGCAACTTGGTTAAATGCAAATGACATGCGTCCACGTGAACATAGGTATATACGGAGAACATTCAAAAAGTTAAACTGACAGATGACATGACAGGTGACATGAATGATGGAAGAGCTTCTACGATTACAAAATAAGAAATAAGGGGGGGCGCATATGAAATTGTTATCACTAAGTGACGTCACAGATGACAATATGGTCGATTTTGAACATGGGGAATTGGTACCACTGTTTGAGTTGATAGATGACATACTTGTCAGGTGGTGACGTGGCAGACATCGTACAAAAGGACACTAGCGTCTAACCTCGACAGACATCGTACAAAAGGACATTAACGTCTAACTTTGTTAGTAATAATGATTGTCATTCGTTACGCCTTATTGACACTTTTTTGAATTTATGTCTCCGATTCTCATATTTTTTGAATATGTAGGGTGATAGATACGACATGCTAATAATGAATCTGTCAATCAAACGTCATTTTGAACTCTATAACGAGCTAGAAAGACGTGCGACACGTCAAATGAAACGGTGGACCGCAAGGATCATGTATTTGATATCATCTTCGAAAAATATACATCAAGAAATCGCTGCAAAAATCTTAAAATTATTAAAAATTAAAAATAAATGTTTATTCCATATTACTGGTATTACATAGTTTCCGAACTAATAAAAATCTTAAAAATCGATACTGCACAAGCGTGGGAAGAGATTTAAAACGATTAGGAAAATTTTAACAATAAGAGCCATACCGAAAAATATATTTAAGTATTTTCCAATGACAAAGTGGCCTAATAAAGAAACTACAGTTAATTGTTTATATTTCTTGAACGGACCAAGTTATCGATCTGGGTTGAAAATAATCAGATGCAATACGCTTTATTACGATCTTGTGGTAGAGTTAGTTTTTTTGCAACTAAGGTCATTCTGTCACTTAAAGAGTAATCAATGATTCAGATGGTTACTGCGCAGAATTTATTTGTTTTATCTGTCATATATGCGTATCATTCCGAATTGAATGCCGCTTACCTTATTCAAATCGATGTTATCGATAGTATTGATCAGATTTTGACTAAATTTGAAAGAGTAATGCCTCAAGAATTATAATAATTATGTCATTCGTTGTACCTTTTTGACATTTTTTGAATTCATACGACGAATTCTCGTGAATTATTAGGCATTCCAAACTGAATGGCTACCAGTGGGTTCTGACGGGTTATGATATGGCAAAATTATGGCAACCCTGTAGGCCTGGTGATTTGACGAGGTCAATAAAATAGATAGTTACATAGATTGATCATCCATATTTTTCAAAATAAACATAAGCCTTGAAGTAAAAAGGTAAGCAATTATTTTTTTTAAATATCTAAAGGCTAAAAATTGGCTTTAAAACACATTTTTGCTAAACCGATTCAAATTAATAAATATTTGCCAGGCAATATGGCCGCTCGTAAATGACCAGCTTTGAGCAATCTATATATATATGTATCATTGACCCTGTTAATGACAACATGACAACAGGGTTGCCATATATAAACTGTCATTACCCACTGGTAGCCATTTGGACAGGTCGTTGGAATGCCTATATAAGGCGAGTTCGGTCAGTCAGGGGCTGGAGCGGGACAAATTTTAGGGTGCTTTTAAATGACATTTAAGCGTGTTAAACTGTCACTAATCGGACTAAACCGAACGCTAAAAGAGAGTACTTCTATACAAGGGAAGTGCAACCAACTTAACAAAATAAAATTGACACTAATGACATAAGAAATCGGGTCACATAAAGAGGCTGTTTATTAGTTTACTGTTTGGTTTTTCTTGTCTACTTTTATGCCATTTACATACCATGTTGTACCCGTAAGGTAAAAAAGACTTTTTAGTTTAGGGTATTTTACATTTAAAGGTTGAAAAAGTATGTCAGTGTCAGCTGTCAATTATGGTGATGATAGAACACAGGCGTAACCATAGATGGGCATAAGGTTACCAGTGTTGTATATGGTTGTATAGTATATGGAACTTGATTTTGTAGCAGAATCATTTTTGCATTTGACATAAATATATAAAACCAAATGAAAAAATGTTTAAAGGAACCGGAAGAAACACAAATAGACTATTAACAATTAAAAAGTAAATCGCAATGCTACGCTTATGTTTTGACATTATCGACAGCTGATATTGACAAATGTCTTCAACCTCTAAATGTAAAATACCCTAAAATAAAAAGTCTTTATTACGTTACGGGTACAACATGGTATGTAAATGGCATGAAAGTAGATAAGAAAAACCAAAAATTTAGAAGAAAAACAGCCTCTTTGTGTGACCCGATTTCTTATGTCATTAGTGTCAATTTTATTTTGTCAAGTTGGTTGTACTTCTCTTGTATAGAAGTCCTCTATTGAAAAGATAATAACATATAACATACTAGTCATGAATCTGACATTCATTGCGTCATTGTAAAATCGATG